CCTGCCTCAGCCTCCTGAGTAGTTGGGATTACAGGCGTGCACCACCACACCCAGCTAATTTTTGTATTTTTAGTAGAGATGGAGTTTCACCATGTTGGTCAGGCTGGTCTCAAACTCCTGACCTTGTGATCTGCCCACCTCAGCCTCCCAAAGTGTTGGGATTACAGTTGTAAGCCACTGCGCCCGGCTGTTAAACAGATATTAACTGTGGTTATTATGAATGGTGATGAGGAGCATGAACATGATCCATTGAAGACAACTGCAGTTATTCTACACAGAAAGGATGTACAGTTGACCCTGCAACAAAACAGGGGCTACGGGCGCCGACCCTCCTCCCAGCAGTTGAAAATCTGGGCACAATTTTTACTTCCCAAAAACGTAACCACTAGAAGCCTTACCAATAACATAGTTGATTCACACACATTTTGTATGTGGTATGTTATATACTGTATTCTTAGAATAAAGTAAGCTAGAGAAAAAGGAAATGTCAAGAAATCAAAAGGAAGAGAAAATATATTTACTGTTTAATAAGTGGAAGTGGATCATCACAAAGGTCTTCATCCTTACCGTCTTCCCGTTGCTTAGGCCTAGGAGAAGGCACAGGAGGGTTGGTCTTGCTGTCTCAGGAGTGGCAGAGGCAGAAGAAAGTCTGATTGGACTTGCGTTTTTCAAGGGTCAACTATATTATTGCTGCCTTGTTTCTGTACTGTACTGTACTAATAGAACTGGGAAAGAATATCCAGTATACCACTGATAATCATAATCCAGGACTTCCTAATATACAGCACTGCTCAATTTTACATTTTTGGCTGTCATCAGCAATGTTTCTTTCGAATATATATAAACTATACAATCTTGTTGTTATACAAACTGCCCCTTTTTCTAGAAATATGTTCACTTGATATAAAAAGAACTGCAAGTATAAAAAACACCCACAAATAAAGGCAAACAAAGTTGTTTTTTTTTAAAAAAAGCATTTGTAAATGAGTTAATATCCTCAAAGAGTTCCTGTAAATCCATAAGAAAACCATTTACAAACCAATGAGAGAAGGGAACAACGCACTCAAACACTTCCTAGAAAGATGAGCATCAAAAAGAGTCAAATGCATAGGTGTAAATTTAACATGAAGTGACAACTTGTGCTTTACGAAACACCGAAAAGCATTGTTGAAAGTTTTAAATGCCTAGATTACAAAGATAATGCATGTTCTTGGATTGGAAGACTTACTATGGTTAAGATGGCAGTGCTCCCCAAATTGATCTACAGATTTAACACATTCCCTCTCAGAATCCCAGGAGAAATTTTTGCAGGAATTGACAAGCTGATCCTGAAATTCTTATGGAAACTCAGGGGACCCAGAATAGCTAAAACAGTCTTGAAAAAGAAGAGTAAAATTGGAAGACTCACACTTTCCAATTTCAAAACGTACTACAACACTGTAGTAATCAGGACAGTGTGATACTGGCAGAAGGATTGACATAAACCCATGGAACAGAATTGAGAGAGAGGAATAAACCCTCACAAGAAATGGTCAGTTGATTTTCAACAAGGATGTGAATTAAACAGAGAATGAATGGTCTTTTCAACAAATGGTGCAGGAATAACTGATACCGACATGCAAAAGAATGAAGTTGAGCCCCTTCCCCTTCATACATGCCAATTAACTCAAAGTGAATCACAGACCTAAGTATAAGAGCTAAAACTAAAACTTTCAGAAGAAAACATAATAACTCTTCATGACCTTGGAGTGGCACAAACCTTCTTAGATACAACACCAAAAACACAAGTGACTTTTTAAAAAAGTAGATTAATTGGACTTCATCAAAATTAAAACTATTGTGCTCAGAGGTGTCCTGCTAAGAAATTAAAAAGACAACCCATGGAACGAGAGAGAATATTTGCAATCATATATCTGATCAGGAACTTCCAGAATATATGAAGAACTCTTATAACTCTTTCAATGATAAAATAGCAAAGGATTTGGGTAGGTATTTCTCCAAGTGAGATACATAAATGTCCAATAAACACATTAAAAGATGCTCAACATCATTAGCTATGAGAGAAATGCAAATCAAAACCACAAGCAGATACCACTTTACACCCACTTGATGGCTAAAATTAAAAAACAGAGACAAATATCACGGATGTGGAGAAATTAGAACTCTCATACATGGCTGATGATGGATTGTAAAATGGTATACACTTTGAAAAAAAAAAAATTTCCCCAGCATTTCCTGATTTTAAATATAGGGTTACCATATGATTTAGCAATCCCACTCCTAGATACATACCCAAGAAAAATGAAAACGTATATCTATGCAAAAATGTCTGTATATGAATGTTCATAGCAGTGTGATTCATAGCTAAAAAGTAGAAACCACCCAAATGCCCATATCCCTTCCATAAACAATGTAGTCTGTCCGTACAGTAAATAGCATTTAACAATGAAAAAGAATGTTGATACATGCTACAACATGGATAAAACTTGAGAACACCGTGCTAAGTAAGAGAAGAGAGCCAGAAACAACTGCACTTTATTCCACTTCTGTGAAATGTCCAGAATATGTGCATCTGTAGAGAACAGTACGTAAGTGGTTGCTGGGGCTGGGGATAGGGGATGAGGGATTGTGCTGGCTAATGCATGTGGGTTTCTTCAGAAGTTAAGAGAATGTCACAGAATGATACTGAGGTGATAGTTGCTAATCCTGTGAATAAGCCAAAAATCATGAAGTGTACATTTTAAATGGGTAAATTAGATGGCATATGAATTACATCAACTAATAAAACTGCTAAGAAGGAAAAACTATTCCTTCTCTAACCAGTCATTGTACTCAGGAGCCTATCCCTAAGGAAATATATTTATTCTTCCATTACTCCAATACTTTCGAAGTGCCACTCATCTAGTGGATATTGTTTAAGGTGCTGGGGATACAGCAGTGAACAAAATACATAACTAATCAGAGAATTAGATCAGAAATTCTGAGAATCAGACCTGAAAAAAACAAGGGATGTTCACAAGCCAGAAACACCTAAATCGTCCAGTGGCAAACAAATTATGGCATATGGTGGTATGTTACATAACCATTTAAAATGTAATTTCACAGAATAGTCACTGGTGTGAGAAAATGATACGGTTGGATGTGAAGAATGTAAAATCCTGTATATGAAATACTGTATACTGCTGTGAAATCAATATTATTTCTTTAGGCAATGGTGCTGGGTTTTGACTCGAGCCCACCTATCGATTGCTATTTCTTTTTTGTGTTTTTTTTCTGAAGTGTCTAACTCTCATAGAGTAAGATACATTATCTTTATGATCCTAAAGATCACCAGCATCCATTTCCCTGAGTTCCCATTGACACTAAGCAAAAGCACTGAACTGCTGCAGGCCTCACTTTTCAATGCTTCTGTCGATAGGATTGTTTCCCTTGAGGTTAAGAGAACAAAACCATAGGGCAAATGGGGTTTGCTGCTGAATACAACTGGTATTTTTCACATGCCAGGATGAGCATGGCATTGTCTAATTTGAAAAAGAAGAAAACTAACAGAATAAGTCTTTACTCTTTATTAGGGACTGCCTTTTTATTTATTTTGTGTGTGTGTGGTGTGTTTTATGTATTCAAGTTAGTTGTGTTTTGCTTCTTTCAGTATCAACCTGCCAACAATTTTCATTCATCCAGATTTATCTTTAGTGCTTATGATGTGCCAGGCATTTCCTTCCCACCCACCTGCCCCTTTTTTTTTGGAGACCAGGTTTTGTTCTGTTGCCCAGGCTGGAGTGCAGTGGAACGATCATAGCTTACTGCAGCCTCGACCTCCTGGACTCAAGTGATCCTCCCGCTTCAGCCTCCTGAGTAGCTGGGTCTACAGGCTTGCACTACCACACCCGGCTAGTTTCTTATTTTTATAGAGACAGGATCTCGCTATGTTGCCCAGGCTGGTCTTGAACTCCTGGGCTCAAGTGAACCTCCTGTCTCAGCTTCCCAAGATGTTGGGATTACAGGCATTACCCACTGTGCTTGGCCATTAGGCATTTTCTTACATTACCACATCTGGTTCAATTCTGTGAGGAAGGTGTCATTATCTCTTGTTCACAGATGAACAATTCAGGTCACATGGCTGGTTTGCACCAGAATCGAAACTGCAGTACAGGTGCTGTTGGTGCCAGAGCTGATGTCCTTGCCCACTGTACTGTGCTGCCTGCTGTGAAGCTGTGAGGTCAGAGATGACAAGGTTGTGTAGGAGGAGGGGTTTGCAGTCTAATCAGGGCATCTGGGCATACACTCATACAAAGCAAGGAATAAATGAGTCCTAAAGTATAGATTATAGAAAACTAGGAAATAACAGAACAGAGTAAAGTACTTATTGTTGGCCATAAACAGTAACTGAAATGGTTGAAAAGAGAACTGACAATTACAAATAGCCCTTGCCAATTCCCAGGAATAAATACATTTATGCTCTTGTTTATTTCCTCTACTTCATATTATCCCTGTTTACCTCCCTTTTAAAAGATTTCTGTTATTAAAGTAAATAAACAGTTGGTATGTATATGATTTAGGTTCCTTTTTTAGATCACGTTTTGTTCTTTGTTTTTTGAGATATACTCTGTTGCCCAGGCTGGAGTGCAGTGGTACAATCTCAGCTCACTGCAACCTTCACCTCCTGGGTTCAAGCAATTCACCTGTCTCAACCTCCTGAGTAGCCAAGATCACAGGCGCGCCACTACACCCAGCTAATTTTTTTTTTTTTTTAATATATGTAGATAGGGTTTCACCATGTTGGCCAGGCTGGTCTTGAACTCTTGACCTCAGATGATCTGCCAGCTTCGGCCTCCCAGAGTGCTGGGATTACAGGCATGAGGCATGGATTGCAGGCATGTTTTTTGAAGCTAGTGTGCATTATTTGTAAGCTGAGGTGTATCCAACTCATGACCAACATCTTGGCATGTGGTAGTCTGTTGGTAAAATCTTTCTACTCATCTAGTCTTTGGTTCTTTCAGGCAACATGGCTCTATGGAATACAGATAACAAGTTTACTCCTGGTCTGCATTGTTCAGTTTTTTAATTCCATGATTCTTGGATCGCTGCTCATCAGTTTTAACCTTTCAGTATTAATTGCAAGAAAACTTCAGGTAGGACTTCTTTTTTGTCCTTTATCAAAGTAATTTTTTTTGTTTTGTTTTAATTTTGTGGCTCATTGAACCTTATTTCATACAGCATACGAAGGGAAATAATTTACAACACAATTCCCACTAAAAAGCACACGTGGTGGTGTGTGCTTTTTCAAATGCCTGTGGTAACATTTCTGTTTCAGGCTTTGTGAGGTCATCCTTTTGCTTTGACAGTTATTTCTTAGAGAATTGGAATGTTACCTTCAATGTGGGGATCAGCCAGTGAAGCTTGGTTGAATGATTTAAATTTTAAGCAAAGGAGAAAAGTTTTTAACTTTTATGTATGTGAACTCAGGAGCAAGAAAAGTCTCTGCTTGTGGTGGGAGCATGTTCATCACAGCCCTTCACGTTGGTGGTCACCTTGTTATTCTTTGACATACTAATAGTACTCTTTTCCCCGTCCTTCCACACTATATTAACTCTGTTTTGAGAATTTTGAGACTCCAAATAAATAACTTCAGAAATAATGAGACATTTCATTTCCTAGGGTATTGTAAAATCATGTTTAAAAACAATGACTTTCTGTTTTGGCTTTATTGATATAATTACATTTATTAATGTTTACATAAAATATGAGTCATTTGTTTTTACTTAAAATTTTAACATCCTATTTTCTTTCACATATGCTGGAAACATTTCTCTGTCAAGAAGCCATTTTGTTTACCACTTTGAGAAGACTAAATCATTCTTCTTCTTAGTCTTTTGAGTGAGAATTTTTATGGACAAGGTGTAATTTTTTTTTTTTTTTTTTTTTTTTTTTTTTGAGATGGAGTCTTGCTCTGTCACCCAGGCTGGAGTGCAGTGGCACAATCTCGGCTGACTGCAACCTCCACCTCCCGAGCTCAAGCAATTCTCCTCCCTCAGACTCCTGAGTAGCTGGGATTATAGGCACCCGCCACCACGCTCAGATAATTTTTGTATTTTCAGTAGAAACAGGGTTTCACTGTATTGGCCAGACTGGTCTCAAACTCCTGACCTCATGATCCGCCCCCATCGGCCTCCCAAGGTACTGGGATTACAAGTGTGAGCCACCACGCTGGGCCATAAATATTTTTTTAGAACCAGGCTTTTAGTCGACTATCAAAAACAGCAGTTCAAAGTCATCCTTTTAACCTTTAAATATAAATAAACATTACTCTTATTTGGACTGTTTAGATACTATGTTTAACAATGTGTAAAATTATCTGACGGTTATAAGAACACTATTATATGTCAGAGGATACAATGTACTTCTTTTTATACCCATAGGTCTTTTATGTAATTGACTTGTAACTGTATCTGTGAGGTAAGAATGAATGGATAAAAGATGTAACAGTTTGTTTAGTCACCATATCCTGAGTACCTTCCAAAGGGCAGACCCCAATCCTCCAGTTGCTAAGGTCTTAAAAAATAATTAGGAAAAAAAGACTAGGACACATTTTCTCATCTTATAAAGCTTATTATTAAAAGATTCATTTTCTACTCGAGAATCACAAATGTTAAGACAGTGTACCATCATGAAAATGAGGAGGTTGTATTTTCCATGTATATTTTCCCTTTATGTTTTATTAGCCAGTGTTTTTAAATCCTTAAGTAAGCTCATCCTCACTGTTTATGAAGTTATATTAAAACTTAAGAATTAAAACATAACTCTTTTAATTTCTAGAAAAATCTGAAAACTGGAAGCTTCCTTAATAGGCTTGGGAAACTTTTGTTACATTTATTTATGGTTTTATGTTTGACACTTTTTCTCAACAACATAATTAAGGTAAGTTTTGAAAATGACATATTTAATGTATTAATTAACTTAATGGCACTGGAGATGATTTTTGAAATTTTCTTTTTCTTTTTTAATAAACTAATTTTTTTAGAGACAGGGTCTTACTTTTTCCCAGGCTAGCACTGAATACCTGGTATCAAACAGCCCTCCCACCTTAGCCTCCCAAGTTGCTGGGACTACAAGTGTGTACCACCATAGCTGGCTTCTATGAAAATATCAATTTTAAATACCTTCTTGCTTTATAAAGTATATTAGCATGTCTAAAGAGTTACTAGTTTTGCTTCAAACAGACTCAGCTTTAACTCTGTCTTAGTAACAAGGATTATTTTGTTGATTTTAGTCATTAATTTCTATGTACTCTTCAACATGTTCCACCTTGAACTTACTCACCTTTTGTTATGAAACTTTAAAGAGCTTAACTTAAAAAGCATTAAACAAACAAATATTTCTCTAAATTTAAAAATTTTATTTTTAGTACCATAGTATACACATAGTTTTCTATACTGTGGTAGTAAAACAAAACAAAAAAGACATGATTTTTATTGAGTTCAGTTAGTAAGTAAACTGGCCTTACTATCCACTTTCTGCTAGAAAGAAGAGTTGAGTTCATTTTTCCCAACATTTAATTGACTTTAACAGCCCTAACAGAACAACTCATTTAGTATCATAGGCATCCATTGGTTTTATGTCCAGTAGGTGCTTTGCTAAGATTTTTACATTGCCCCAGGGGCTCTGCTTAGTTTAACATGCATTTTAAATGTTTTTATTGGCTTTTTAATTTTTTTTTTCAGGGTAGGCTTTATTAAAGGTATAGTTCTTGGTCCTTGATATTCCATTTGTTTTTATGCTAGAGCAAAACTACATTGATTTCTTCAGATAATTTTGCCTGTCCTAGAAGGTTGGTCACAGGAAGCCTGATAGAATTTCTTTACCATTTATATTATTATATATGGATTTTTTTAAGTCACAAATTTAAAATAGAATCCTATGAATTAAAATTGTAATCACTAATGAACACTCATATTTGTCTGTCCACCCCTTAAGGGTTACAACTGTCTTGAATTGTCTTTAAGTGAATAAGTCTTGGATCGATTGTAATCACAGAACAAAACCCCAAAGCCAGACAGGCCCTGTGGGTGGCGTATCTATTTGAGGTTTCAGATCATCGTCTTGTCAGTTTTCTGGTCTGAAAACTTGTGCTCACTATGCCTCAGCCTTCTCCCTCTCCCTGAAACAAAAAAAAAAACTCATCTTTTACCTATTTTGCATATTTAACTTATGTATAAGATTTTTTTTTGAATAAAGGATTATGCTAAAAAGGGGGTGGGGATTGGAAGGAGTTTGGAAGTCCCTACTTTGGAATTCCTCAGTTCTGAGAACTACTGTGAACATTTACTGATTTTATACACCCACATGCTCCTATGAAATTGGACACTGAATATATATAAATTCAATGGGAAATTATCCGGAAACCATGCCTAAAGGACTAATAGCAATTTTTGTTTTCTCTTTCCCCAATAGAAAATTCTTAACCTGAAGTCAGATGAACACATATTTAAATTTCTGAAGGCAAAATTTGGGCTTGGAGCAACAAGGTATAACTGAATTGAAAATCTGTGTTTGCTATTTTCTATTGAATCAGCAGGGACTTTAAAACTTAAGTTGTCTTTGTGCCTTCAACTATTAATTGCGGACTCCTTTTGAGGAAAGATGTAATGTTGTTTCCCTGTCTTATATTGAATTTAATACTTTACTTTCCATTTATTCCCTAGGGATTTTGATGCAAATCTCTATCTGTGTGAAGAAGCTTTTGGCCTCTTGCCTTTTAATACATTCGGAAGGCTTTCAGATACTCTGCTTTTTTATGCTTACATATTTGTTCTGTCCATCACAGTGATAGTAGCTTTAGTTGTTGCCTTTCATAAACTCAGGTATGGTATATTTCAGAAATTTAATGTTCTCCTTTAATGAACTTGTTTCATGTTGCAGAAAAGTTGCGCAGTTGAAAATCAGAATATCAGACACAGAACAGAGTAACAGTATTCATCTTTGAGGGGGAACATACCTCATTTAGAATGGACTCTACTCCCAGTAGCTAAGAGACAACAGAGTCATGATCAGATTGCACCCAGTTTGGGCTTAAGTCTTGGCCTGCACTCTTGGGAACAAAGTGATCCTTGAGCCAGTTACATAACCTTTCAATATATCCACTTCCTTATCTTTAGAATGGGAAGACTGAAAGTACTTACTCTACAGGGTTTTGTGAGAAATAAGTGAGAACTTAAAATAGTGTCTGGTGCCTAGACTTTGGCAGGTACAAGCTGTTGTAAACTGGTTTCATTCTCACTGTTGACTCATAAGCCTCTGTTGTGTTTCCATCATCAGCATCCTATGTTTTTCTGCCTTTCTCCTCTAGCTGCCTTTTTTATTACTCTTGAAATGTAAGAATTAATTATTGTTAGGCCGGGCACGGTGGCTCAAGCCTGTAATCCCAGCACTTTGGGAGGCCGAGGCGGGTGGATCACAAGGTCAAGAGATCGAGACCATCCTGGTCAACATAGTGAAACCCCGTCTCTACTAAAAATACTAAAAATTAACTGGGCATGGTGGTGCGTGCCTGTAATCCCAGCAACTCAGGAGGCTGAGGCAGGAGAATTGCCTGAACCCAGGAGGCAGAGGTTGCGGTGAGCCGAGATCACGCCATTGCACTCCAGCCTGGGTAACAAGAGCGAAACTCCGTCTCAAATAAAAAAATAAAATACGGCCGGGCGCGGTGGCTCAAGCCTGTAATCCCAGCACTTTGGGAGGCCGAGGCGGGTGGATCACAAGGTCAAGAGATCGAGACCATCCTGGTCAACATGGTGAAACCCCGTCTCTACTAAAAAATACAAAAAATTAGCTGGGCATGGTGGCGCGTGCCTGTAATCCCAGCTACTCAGGAGGCTGAGGCAGGAGAATCGCCTGAACCCAGGAGGCGGAGGTTGCGGTGAGCCGAGATCGCGCCATTGCACTCCAGCCTGGGTAACAAGAGCGAAACTCCGTCTCAAAAAAAAATAAAATAAAATAAAATAAAATAAAATAAAATAAAATAAAATAAAAAAATGTGACCATTAAAAGAATTAATTATTGTTATTTGTTTTCTTCCATCTTGCTTCAGGGTTCATAATGTTGGAGTGGACCATAATAACTAGTATCTACTGAAAGTTTTGAGTAATAACTACCAATTTAAAAACAATTTTTTAAACTTAGCATGGCTATTAATCTACTGAAAGAAAAAAATCAGGAGTGTAAAGCCTTTTAAAAAACTTGTAAGAATATCTACTCATCAAGCTGCTGGGGGCTTTTCCATTGACTATTCTTGTTAAACTGAAAGAAAAATAAGTGTAAGAAGTTGAAGCTACTGTCATTTGTGAAAAGTTAATGAAGCTCACAAGGAAGCCCTTTTTCTGTATAGTTACCTTGCCAATTAAGGTGCTGGTGAACTGTGTTTCACAGCCATGAGAGGGCTGTAATTAAAATGAGTCCAGAGCAGTTGAGAGGTTTTTATGATTATTAAGAATGAAGCAACATTGAACCATGAAAATATTTCATTGACCATAAACTATTTTACTATCTTTCAGAAGTGTTCTTTTTTATACCTAACCCAGGATAAATTTAGCCCTGTGAAAATAGATGGAAATTATTCTGGACAGTGTGATTTAGTACTATTCAGACACACCAAGTGTCGAGAGGACTCTAGACTGCATACAAAGCAGGAAGTTCAGTGGGCCTGCAGTATCTTTATGAAAATGTCTGCCATGCTCTGTGTGAATCTGTGAGCCATCTCTGGAGGCTGATTTGGTATATGATCATAGATAAAAGATTTTAGAGCGTTTTCATCTACCAGATAGGGATGTTAGGACTTTATTAGAGGAAGAGCACTACATAAAAGTAAAGAATCATAGTACAGTCGTGTCACTTAACAAGGGGGATATCTTCTGAGAAATGTGTATTAAGCAATTTTATCATTGTGTGAATATCATAGAGTATACTTACACAAACATATATAGTATGGCCTACTACGCACCTAGGCTATGTGGTATAACTTATTGCTATCCTACAAACCTGGACACCAAGTTACTATGTTGAGTACTGTAGGCAGTTGTAACACAATGGTATTTATGTATCTAAATATATCTAAACATAGAACAGGTACAGTAAAAATATAAAGGCCAGGTGTGGAGGCTCACACCTGTAATCCCAGTGCTTTGGGAGGCTAAGAAGGAGGATTGCTTTAGGCCAGGAGTTCCAGACCAGCCTGGGCAATATAGCAAGACCCCATCTCTACAAAAAAAATTCTTTTTAATTAGCCAGGCATGATGGTGCAAACCTGTAGTGCCATCAACTCGGGAGGCTGAGGCAGGAGGATCACCTGAACCCAGGAGTCTGAGGTTTCAGTGAACTATAATTGCACCGTTGCACTCTAGCCTGGAAAATAGAGTGACACCCTGTCTTTATTTTTAAAAAATACCGTAAAGATTAAAAATTGTATACCTCTTTAGGGCAGTCATCATAAATGGAGCTGGCAGGACTGGAAGTTGCTCTGTGAGAGCCTATGAGTAAATGTAAAGGCCTAGGACGTTACCATACACTATCGTAGACTTTATAAATACTATACACTTAGGCTACAATAAATCTGTTTAAAAAACAAAGTAATTGTGCTATGGTGTTATTTTATAATGGCTGTGATGTCACTAGGCAATAGCAGTTTTTCAGCTCTATTGTAATCTTACGAATCCATTGTGATATGTGCCATCTGTTGTTGACCGGAATGTTCTTACATGGCATGTGACTGTGTCTTAATATGAATTAACTTTTAAATAAGGGCCTTTTGTCAGTGCGAAGTATTTAAAGTATTTCTGCCTTTTTAGTACTAGGAAGGATGACACTATGACTTGTTGTTTTGTGTTGTTTTGTTTTGTTTTAGAGATGAGTCTCACTCTTGCCCGGGCTGGAGGGCAGTGGTGTAATCTCAGGTCACTGCAACCTCCGACTTCTGGGTTCAGGCAATTCTCTTGCCTCAGCCTCCTGAGTAGCTGGGATTACAGGCACACACAATCCCCCCTGGCTAACTTTTGTATTTTTAATAGAGATGGGGTTTCACCATGTTGGCCAGCCTAGTGTCAAACTCCTGACCTCAAGTGATCCACCCACCTCAGCCTCCCAAAGTGTCAGGATGACAGGCGTGAGCCACTGCACCCTGCCAGTTACTATGACTTTTATGTATACATCTGCATTAATGTGAAGAGTACATCTGAAAGGGGCCCAGTGTTCTGTGTTCATGGAATTAATCAGAGCCTTCCAGCTTGACTGAGTTACGGGCAAGGTGCTTCAGACTTCTCCTAGGTTATCTAGAGAGGATAAGAGCAGATAATCTCCTTGTCTGTTTTATTTTTATTTATTTTTTACACGTTGCCCTGTTTATGGATATTCTCCTTGTTTGGAGTAACCTTTTTGTACCAATATAGAAACCAGTGTTTGAGTTGTAGTATTTGAGTAAAGATTCCAATGGTGAATTATCAATGGCAAGAACTGCCTTAGAGTATCCTTTTAATTTTCCTATGTATCTCTGGTAGGAAAAAGAGGATTTCTAGGAAATAAAAGATCTCTAGTTACATAGAGAAGCATCATATGTACCCAGTTCTATTGGGTGTGTGTGAGAGGTCAGTAGACTTTCATGAAAGTTTTCATCTTAAACTAGTAGCCTTTACTATTGTTTTCTTTTCCTTTGACAAATTGTGCACCATCTAAAGTCACTGATCAGTCTTAACATCACTGAAGTGGAGACAGCCAGGTAGTGTGTGCTTCGCAGTGTGATGTGACCTGGAGTAGAGCCGTCCCCCTTTCTGTGGGGATATGTTTCAAGTCCATCTTTGGATGCCTGAAACCTCGGATGGTTCCAGACCCTCTCTAAACTGTTTTTTTCCCATACATACATCCCATGATAAAGTTTAATTTGCAAATTAATCATGGTAAGAAATTAACAACAATAATAATAAAATACAACAATTATAGAAACATGCCAGGATCACTTTCTTGCACTTTGGGACTTTATTAAGTAAAATAACGGCTGCTTGAGCACAAACAATCCTGGGACATTTAAATGTATCTTACTATATTAGTAGTTGTATCTGTCTGTAATGGATGGGTAGCATATACAGTGTGGAAACACAGGATCAAGGGACGATGATTGATCTGCATCTCAGGTGGGACAGGCAGGAATGGAGAGATTTCATCATGCAACACAGAACAGCATGTAATTCAAAACTATGGTTTATTTCTGGAATTTTCCATTTAATGTTTTTGGACAACAGTTTCCTCAGTAACAAATCACAGAACGTGAATCCACAGATAAGAGGGACTACTATGCATCATAATTCTATGAAGTGTTCTTGCCAAAAAAAAAAAAAAAAATGAACTTGTGTCTAATAAACTTCTAGATCTAATTACAAGTTTACAAGAAGCATAGCATGGAGAAATGTCTAAACAACACTGTGAGCCACACCCGGGAGATGGGAACAGTTTCAGGACAAATGTTCCATATTCTTCCACAAACAAATGGCCTGCTTTTTAAAAAAAGGAGATACTTTTATAGATCAAAAGACATTTAAAGAGATATATTAGTGAAATGTAGCATGCAGTTCTTAGATCCTGATTCAAAGAAACCTCCTGAAAAAAGCAATTGATGCAAACTGAAAATAGAATATGAACTTGGTATTAGATGATGTTAACGAATTAATGTTACTTTTATTTGGTGTAAGAAGTTTAATGTAGATGTATTTGATAAAAATCATCTTTTGGATATCACGAGGTATTGCTAGGTTAAAAATGTCATTTTTGGGAGGGTCATAAGTGAACTGAATTCCAAGTTAATGGATGTGGTTTTTGCTTTTACTTATTTGTAAAATTAAAGAATTGAAACCCTTTAAATTCTTACTTCAGAGCTGCTGTGAAATTTTAGTTTTTCTCAGTAATGCATTTATATTGTGACATTTTTAGCCTCATAAATTCAAAATTGATCAATGAGAATTCATTTCATCTTAGGGAAATAATCAATTTCTGAATACATAAAGGCATACATTTGTTATCATTACTTCTTTTAAAAGATTTAACTAAAGTTACATTTCCAGCTTACATTTTGTATGTTACTATTTTACTCAGTGATTCTACAAATCAACAATCCATGGGTAAAATGGAAAAAGGTACTGTTGACCTGAAACCAGAAACTGCCTACAACTTAATACATACCATTCTGTTTGGATTCTTGGCATTGAGTACAATGAGGTATTTTTGTCTTACCTGTTTGTTAATTTTTTAATTTGACCACTTTTGATGTTATCTACCAATATAATTTGGAAAGTGACAGTCATCTTCATTAATGATCATGGTTCCCATAAAATCATCCTTATGTACTGTCTTCTCTCAGTATAAAGTATGCATCACCAGTTTTTACAATTAATTACAAACATGCCTCTATGTTTTACTCAAAACACAGTTCTCAAAAGGCAGCAGAGTTAAAACAAACCCTTCAGCAAATGGCATCTGCATAATTTTAAGTACGATTTTGCTGTCATAGACTGTAAAGCTGCCTTTATAGGTATCTCAGAATCCAGGTTTACACACAACTAGTGGTTCCTAACGTGTGCCTGTGTCTGTTCTTACAGAATGAAATACCTATGGACGTCACACATGTGTGTGTTCGCATCATTCGGCCTGTGTAGCCCCGAAATATGGGAGTTACTTCTGAAGTCAGTCCGTCTTTATAAGCCAAAGAGGGTCAGTGTCATCCCTTTTCCCGTCTCCTGTTTATGACTCGTAATATTTCTTTCATACCACTTCTTTTTTTTTTAATAGTTGCCTGAAAAAAAATCTCCATCAATGAGATAAAATGGATCCTGAAATTGAAACTAAAAATACATAATTGACGTATTAAGATTTTATAAGGAAATATTTTAAAATAATTTTATTTTCAAAATTACTTTTCCCTCAGACTGTAAGTTAGATATGTTCATTGTACAGAATTTGGAAATACAAAGCACAAAAGGGGAATTAAAATTACCAATAATTCCGTTGTCCAGAATTATAACTGTTATTATTATAATGAATTTTTGTAAAGATAATTATTGATACATGTATGATAATTTTTCAGAGCCTATGAATGCAGTTTTGAATTGTTTGTTCTCTATAAATTCACTAGGTGGCAATATGGTAGAAGCTGCAGATATCTTAAAAATGATTAGGATCCTAATATCGACTCAGTTATTCTACATATTGGAGACTTGTGCTCCATTAAATTCTATTTTTGGTATTTTTTTTAAAGGCATATATTTACAGAGCAAAACTGTAAGGCAGAAGTGTTCAAAAAAGCTGGGCACAGTGGCTTACTCCTGTAATTGTAGCTGCTCAGGAGGCTGAGACGGGAAGATCACTTGAGACCAAAAATTTGAGGCCAGCCTGGGCAATATAGCAGGACCCTGTCTCTCCAAAAAAAAAAAAAAAAAAGTTCAAAATACTTGTAATCTAAATAGTGTCTTTCTTACATAGATATGTATAATGCGATATTCAGTACCGATATTAATTCTGCTGTATCTGTGCTATAAGGTAAGACTGATTTTCCTCATTCTTGTCATTCATGTATTTAGCAAAATAATTACTTTGATTCAATATATTTTGTGTATTATTTGGTAAATAGAGTGCTTTGTGGAGGTTATAAATACTCCCTGAGCTTCTTACTGAAGTTGACATTGATAGAAAAATGGATCTTTTTCCCAAATAGTTTTAACAAGTAAAAACATGATAGTGAAAAGTACTATAGCGTTGATAATTATAATTAATTTTGGTTTAGACTCTTACTATTCAGCTGATGCAAATTCTGAAAATAAGATGTTTTCAGACCTATTTTGAAATGAAAGTAGAAAAATTATTTTCCCCCATTACCTGATTTGTATAGAGTAAGAGATTTTTTTTTAAAAAGTATCTTACTTTAAGCTGCATATTTTATTAGATACTTATCTTCATGAGAGAATTAGACACATAAATAGAGTTTAAGTAGGCTTTTTAAAATCTGTTCTTCAGTATCAATAGGAAGTAAGTGAATTTTTCATATTCTCATTTGACTAGTTTCTGAAACAGCATGAACTACCCTTTAATTCAGAGAATTTCAGAGACAGTGATCAGTGGTCAGGTTGACTGTGTGTGGCTCTTTCTGTCACATCTTAGACATTGACAGTCTTGAATCATCACCAGGGCAGATAGCACAGACTCTTTTATCCAATTGAGCTTCTGCCCTCTCTTTTTAAAAAAAACTTAACAGCTTCTTTTAGATTTTTTTCCTTTAAATTTTATTTTAAGTTAGAACAATGGACTTAAAACTACTGTGTAGAACCCCTGATTTGGGAGAGAGGCTGAAAGCGGGGGTGATGGATCCTCCCACAGAGAGGATCAGCTAGAGCAGTTCAGCTTTGGCGTTTATTTGCTTATATTTTCATGTAGGATTTTGTGAACTAAAGGTTTCAAGCTAAAGAAAATATTGCTAAATGCTATATTGTAAATATTTCAAAAACAATATGTTCTATCATGAACCTGTCTTATCAAAACATTTACCATTAGCAAAAACTCTGTGGTAACTCCTAGATATTAAAAAAACACACAAATAAATTTATGCCTCTCTGCCTCTGGAAATGTTATTGCTCCAATGTAAATAACTGAAACTTATTAAAAACATCTAGACACCAACAATTAAGGATTAAACAGTATATGTTACTGAGGAATCCAGTCAGTTTACATTTACACAGTGATTCTGAAGATTAAAGCACACTCCTCACAGAAAAGATAAAGCTCATGAATGTTTTTCTCACCACTGAAGATGTACCAAGCAGTAACCATCTTTCACACTGCCTGTGTGCATGTAGGTTCAGTTCTTTTATGTCTCAGCTATTGAAATTTTACTGATTTTTTTAAGCTATTTGACAACTGAGGTCTATTGTTCATAATAAAATTAAGTAAGGACATTGTATAAGAAGTAAACTGTCCTAGGAAGCATTGGCTCTTGAAGTGTCATCCTCAGATAAACAGCATCAGCGTCTCTTGGGATCCTGTAAACATGCATGTGTTTTGGTCCCACTCTGGACCTACCAAATCAGAAGCCCAGGAGTTCAGTCCAGAAATTTGCATTTAACCAGCCCCCCAAGTGATGCTGATGCACCATCAAGTTTAAGAACCCCCTGCTGGAGAAACGCTTGAACCCAGGAGGCAGAGGTTGCAGTGAGTCAAGATCACGAAACTACACTCCAGCCTAGGCAACAGAGGGAGACCCCATCTCAAAAAAACAACCCCCTCCCCCCCCACACACACACACAAAACCAGGCTGGGTGCGGTGGCTCACACCTGTAATCCCAGCACTTTGGGAGGCCGAGTCAGGTGGTTCACAAGGTCAAGAGATCGAGACCATCCTGGCCAACATAGTGAAACCCCGTCTCTACTAAAATGTAAAAATTAGCTGGGCGTGGTGGCGCGCGTCTGTAGTCCCAGCTACTCGGGAGGCTGAGGCAGGAGAATTGCTCAGGAGGCGGAGGTTGCAGTGAGCCGACATCTCTTCCCTGCACTCCAGCCTGGCACCTGGCAACAGAGTGAGATTCTGTCTCTAAATAAATAAATAAATAAATAAATAAATAAATAAATAAATAAATAAATAATCCTGCTGTAGCATTCACAGGGTTTCTCAGCAGTGGCACATTGAAGAGCCAGAGAAATCTTTGCCACCAGGGGCAGGGAGGGTCCTGTGTGCTGTAGGCTGCTCTGCGGCATCTTCACCTCTGCCCGCTCGTGGAAGCACCTTTCCCCTGGCCAAGACAACCAAAAATGTCACCAGACATTGCCAAACGCCCTGGGGCTGGGCTGAAGGCACAATCTCTCCCCTCACTCCTCTTGAAAACTACTGCTATAGAACCGGAATGGCTAAAGAAGCCATCATCTGGGCCCAGCGTGGTGGCTCACGCCTGTAATCCCAGCACTTTGGGAGGCCCAGGCAGGTGTGTCACGAGGTCAAGAGATTGAGACCATCCTGGCCAACATGGTGAAACCCCTGTCTCTACTAAAAATACAAAAACTAGCTAGGTGTGTTGGTAGATGCCTGTAGTCCCAACTACTCGGGAGGCTGAGGCAGGAGAATCACTTGAACCCGGGAGGCAGAGGTTGCAGTGAGCAGAGATCACACCACTGCACTCCAGCCTGCTGACAGAGCAAGACTCCATCTCAAAAAAAAAAAAAAAAAAAAGCCATCATCTGCAGGAAATCCTTACAGTTTTCCCTAGGTAAGGGAGTTAGTAGCCTAAGGAATCCTCCAAAAGACTGTTAGCCTAGTCTCTCTTGATATAGAACTTCAGGAAAAATACTAGTGCATTCAGCTTTCACTGTATAAAATAGTTCAGATATTTAATCTCCGCAAAACTTACATAAAATCACAGGGAAAATATAGACGTTATGAGTATGAAACAATCTGTTTTGCAACTATTCCAACTCTTAGAGACTTATCTGTAAGTAATGTGAATTCATATATTTCAAAGCCTGATTTCAGTTTTACATTGCAATTGTAATGAGGGTTTCAAAATTTCTTGTTCATACTACCAATTTTGCTATATCTCTCTTTAGGATAAGCCTATTAAAAGGGAAAAAAGCATGTACTAGCCTCCACTCTGAAGTCAAGACTTTAATAAAATTAGTACTTTGGTCTTGGTAACTTACCTCAATTGCTGAAATCCCTACTGCTGATTGGCAAAAACCACAGTTAGTTAATTCGGCACATTCTTATTGTTAAAGGAGTTTGCCACAAAATTCTTACTAGATTTTAACATTTTCAGAATTAATAACAATAACTTTCAAACTAGAAAAATAACTAATATTGATTGAGTTCACAGATTTCAAATATGTTTATGCTATAAGAATTAGAGCATTTCATTAAAAAGTTGGTCTTTCTATTGGTTATCAAATAAGGAAAACTGGATAATTGAACTATTATGAAGATACCATCTAATCCGTAATTTTTACTACATCTCTTCCAAAAACTAGAACCAGAAGTGCTGACACCTGATTTTCCATCCCTAGCAATTTTCCTGATCACCTACCCAGGAGACAAGATTTGAATGAGCAGTAAAAATGGCCAAAGATGAGAGGACCAAAAAAAAAAGTGATAGGTCTCATACACAGCCAGAGATCAATCAGGTGCTGCTTTGATTCTACTAGTGGTTCTTAAATATTATATTTTCTACATCAGTGGAGCATATATACATTGTCATTGGTCTTCCGTGCTAATAAGCAAAATGAATTCTGCCTTTAACCTTAGGATGTATATAGATATGATCAAGTCTTTTTAGTCAACTGTCATTTCATTAAAATAATTAAGGTTTAGTTAATTGAATTAAATGGACTTAAGATATTAGATAAGTGAGTAATTCAGAGAGTAATTTTTACATTTTATTTACAAAACCTTAAGTAACTCAGGTTGACCAGGAGACGCCAAGTGGTATAAATACAGCCAGATGTATCAGATTTTCCTCGAGAGCCCTACATTCTTCTCTCTTATTGTACCAGCAGTTATATTAATATATGTCAAATCATTTGACCAGATTTCTAGCACAAAAATACAATTACGCTATTATGAAATGAAAAGGGGGCTGGATTTGGAGCCAGGGGCCAGTTGTAGCTCTGCCACTTGTGACCTGGTCAAGTCAGCTACCTCTCTGAGCCACAGTTTCCACACTTGTAAATGAAAAGTAAATCCCAGTGGGTGATGCTGCCTGCTACATCATCCACATCATGGGTTATTGTGAGGATAAAACACTGCCTTATTCTAAAGCATTTTTGCAGCTATAAAACAGCACTGTCTTCTGCAGGCTACATTCTACTGTTAGGGGTAAATTGTATGGTATTTGTTAATTACCTATTCCTAAAGGACTATGAGCTTTCTCATGCTTGGCATTCTTGTCATGTCAAAATAATGTTTTGCTAGGTGTTAACATCACATACGGTAGCATTTTTATGAGAGTAAGATAAAAAGCTCATTTTTAAAAGTTGGCGAGACCTCTCATCCTAATTAGCTTCAACTGAAGATAATTTCAGAAACTTAGAGACACTACTTCCCTTTTATTAGGAGGGTTACTGCAGAGGTGAAATAGTTGTATATTCCAGTTGCCATGTTTATTTAGTTCACACATTATATGCAGTTTATCTTTTTTTCATTTAATCTTAGTGACAGATGTGGGTATAGGGGTGGATTTTGTTTTTGTTTTGTTTTGTTTTTAATTTCAGTTCTGGCCAGGAATGATGGATGAACTCTCCGAGTTGAGAGAATTCTATGATCCAGATACAGTGGAGCTGATGAACTGGATTAAGTAAGAGGATTTTTTTTAACTTTTAAAATTTTAAGTGCTTTTTAAGAGTCACTGTAGACCACATTTGGTTTTGGGTTTTTTTTGTTTGTTTGTTTCTGAATCTAATTAGGAAGAAACATTCATCCTTACTAAATTTTTCTTTAAAACTCCGTATTTGAAAATAACTTCTTTCTATTCAAGAAACATTCTCTTTATCTCACGAGGAAAGGAAAATACCCCTTTGGAGAGGAAAATAGATTCAATAAATAAATTTCACACCACTGACAGAAATGGCAATAACTGTGTGACCTGTTTCTCTCGTTTGGGAGGTGGTGTTTACTTATAATCTCTTTTGAAACTTAAAACGTTATGTCTCTGCCAATTTTATTTCTATTATTTTCATTTTAATACTAGTGTGATTTTCTACTAATGGGGACACTTGAAAGTCTGTTTTCTGGCTGGGTGCAGTGGCTCACACTTGTAATCGTAGCACTTTGGGAGGCTGAGGTGGAGCTGAACACCCAAGGTCAGGAGTTGAAGACCAGCCTGGCCAACATGATGAAACCCTGTCTCTACTAAAAATACAAATATTAGCCAGGCATGGTGGCAGGTGCCTATAATCCTAGCTACTCGGGAGGCTGAGGCAGAAGAATCACTTGAACTCAGGAGGTGGAGGTTGCAGTGAGCTGAGATCAGACTACTGCACTTCAGCCTGGGTGACAGCAAGACTCGGTCTTAAAAAAAAAAAAAAAAATGCAAGCATTCTTTCCTTGTTAATTATTTTTAAATTATACTGTAAACCCCAGTTAAGTAGAGGCTCATGACAGCTCAGTGCAGATTTCATGTTAATTCATCATATTGCCAAAGCCTAGGACCAGAGAAAATTTTAGACACAAAACCTGGAACTTTCTGTTAGTGCTTTAGTGTCCTATTGGCTCTTATTTCTGCCAGCACTTTGTTGTTTTGCCTCAGCATTCATCATCAGAATGAAATTTGTGTATTTCAAAGCTTTATTAACAAAACCTGCCTCCCACCAGCAAAAATAAACTTTCCTACCCAGAGCAGCATTCCCATGCCCTATGATACTGTATTTTCCTACTTTATAAACAGAAAGCAGCCGTATAATTATTCACATGTAAATAGAGGCTGCACATCATGTGTGGCGCCTTCTGAAAGCATTGGCTGGATTGTCCGAGTCACTTGGGATTTTAGTGACCATATCAGCACCTGCCCATTGCTAATGTTTACTCACCAATACCGGTTAGCCCTGCTTTTCTGCAGAGATGGTGAGTGCCTGATAGCTAAGGTCTCCCTAGTGCAATGCACGGATTTTAGAGATTTGTGTCTAAAACATACACATGGCTTTGGTCCGAATGTCAGTCTGGATTTGACTAGATGTGGTGAGTATAATTTTTCACATATTTCTAGTGCTGAGAGCACTAAGCCATGCTTTGTCTATAATTTTAAATCATGCCAGACAATTGCAGAGTAAATAATTCCTTCAGTATTTATTATATACAGGAAAAGAGAGTTATTCATGTAAAGGAAAGCTAATTACTTTTGCATTAACTGGAAATTTATGACGTACATCTGAAAGTGAGGCTGATCCTTTCTATTTTTAGGACTGTACTGTTGAAGTTAATACTGGAGAACCCCTGCATTCTGGTAGCATCCCGAATGTGGTGGGTCTTCCGGATCTCCTTGGATTAACACCATAAACACCCCAGTCTTTCAGGAATTAATTATAGAGTCATTAAAAATGTCTTCTAGCAGAGCCCCAGGTTATCTTTGGCAGTCTCAGACTAGATAAATTTATTTGTAGTGCTTTTATTTTTATGCTTTTCCCCACAGCAAATTAAAGTAACATTTCTAGCTTTGAAAATGGTGGATGAGAGATGATTGCAGGTGTACAGAAGAAAGTATGAGTGACCTGTTTCTCTCATTTGGGAGGTGGTGTTTGCTCCGCGGACCCTCCTTTTGCTACAGCTCCTCTCCCTCTAGTGCCTTTGTAGTAGGCATACTCTTTTGGCTTTTTTTTTTTTTTTTTTTTTTTTAATTCTCAGCAACTGAAGGGTTTGCATTGTTCCAAAAATTTGTTCTATTGTGATCTAATCTCAGCTGTTTTCCCCTAAAATTCTTCAAATCTAAATAATCATTTTTGTAAAACTAGCTGCTTGGCATGTTTGCAAAATAAGCGTTAAGTGATGATGAATGTATGCCAAAATAGGGTCTATGTAGACATCAGATACATTTGTTTAAATCAGCACTCAAATCCACGCTGGCCTGCAGGCTTGGATTCCAGACGCAAGTGACTGCCTTAGTATTGTTTTAACCTGCCCTGATTTCTTCTATTTTCGAAATATAAAATATGACCTTCAAGTTTCACCTCACTGCTTTGGTTAGGCACACGGTGGTGTCCGTGTTATTAGCAGGTTTGAGCTATGTTGGAGAAAAGGCTACGGCCTAAGGAGTCTTTCAGATACATGAGCTGTGTCTGAAAGAGTCCCAAGATGCCTGGCAGAGAACCAGCACTGTCTCTCAGGGCTGCCTCTGTCCTCCCCAGCCTGTCTTCCTGTCTGCAGTGTTCTCAGACAGTCAAAGCAGACACACCCAAATGTCTGTCTTCTGTCTACACAGTCACCATGGCATCTATCAGACAGGGGCACAGCCTCCATTATCGGAGGGATGGCTGCCCCCGGATGAATCAGAACTAGAGAAATTGTGGCCTATGGAATCCCTGGGGGCACCTCAAGTGACCCTCCCTTTTGACACAGGGCACCCCTTACCCCGTGTCCTTGCTACTGGGGTAAGCCACACCCCGCAGGAGGCATCACCATTGTGCTCCTGGACATAGGACTTCCGCTCAGAGACTCAGGCTTTCCAAGTAATTTCGGAGGGCTTCTCTGCTTTGACGGTAAATTGAAAGATGTGGGTGCCTCAGTGGAAGTTGGTTCTTTCTTTTTTATAGGCTAAAGAGATACCCTCAAGGGAAAATAAAGGGCATTACTTGAGAGCGACACTTACTGAAAATGAGAGGGGTCGTACCCAAGGGGTTGGATCCCTGCAGAGACTCTTAAAGCCTTAACTAATTTATAAAGTTATTTCACATCTGAAGTTGTACACTTGTTAATACAATTCAGCAGATGCTGACGGAGCACCAGCTGTGTATGGGCATGGTGTGAAGTGTGTGGATGCGGTGGCACTCCACTGCAGCTGCCTGTCACTGGAGGAACCGCTGGGTCTCGCCTTAGCACGGTTTGTCCTCATTCTTCTCTCCCAGATTCTCACCCTCAACTTCATTTTAAGATCTTCAGAGGCTTAGCAAGTTCAGTAGGAAAGTTTTTTTTTAGAGTTCTAATTTTTAGTAATAGAAACGTTTTATGCTTTCCTATCTTTAGCTCCTAAAAGGAGTAGAGATTTAAGTTTCAGTATGAAACCAAGAATGTTTCGGGTTTAAGTTGCTCTTTTTTACAAGGATGTTGTGACATTTGACATGTGGTTAAAGTCAGAGAACCAGGCTGCAGTAGCCCCAGCTGCCTTCCCTATGAGCTGGAAGGCACCTCCACCCCAGGCTTCTACACCCCAGCCTTTGTGCGTTCACCTGCCTGCTGCTCTCCCTGTTACACCGATGTGCTGCATGCCTTGTTTTCAAGCAGATTTAAATGCATATATTCATATTTACCCTTTTCTGCTGATAAGGTTTCCTGGATACAAAGATTAAAAACTTGGAATTTTTTTTTTTCCCTTCTGGTATTTCTTTCAGCAAAAGCCAGGTGGTACTTTTAGAGGTTTTCTGTGTGATTAGAAAGCACGTTTACTTCAGCAAGGCCGAATGCAACTGCCATCTGTGGTTCCTCCCTTGGTCCTTTGTGCCTTTGAATGTTGGGTTTTAGTTCCTGAACATTTTCTTTTGACATTTTGCAAATAAGATGGATCGATCCATAGATTTGCATATTTTGAGGGATGACATTTTAGCTACTTTGCTTTAGGAAATTTTCACTGGAAATAGTCTCTTTCCAGTAATGAAGGCTGTGTGTGCAGTATTTTCTCAATAGGCCTGAAAAATGGACCAACTTAATTTCACATGTAATCAAAGCAGAAAGTTAGTGTATATTTAAAATATGATGTAGGCTAACTTCAGACCTTAAATGCCTATAAGCCTTTTCTTTATTTAATGAATCATTTTGTAGTATTTGCATAATTCTATAAATTTTTGAAGTGTAGCTAAAGCAATGTTCACACATTATATTATAATGCTCAGTTTCCCCATTAGTTCAACAGCAATTAACTTGTTGAAGCTTAGAGCTTCAAAAATAAATGAGATTATTTGTTCAAATGCCATCAGGTCTTCCTGGAATGACATTTAAATTATATAATGTAAATCCATTTGACCTGTGAGTCCTTGTCATCATTTAGTGACATTTCTTACAGAACAAATTGTGTGCAGGTTGGGCAGTCTGCTATGGAGCTTGGCAAAGGGCTATAAAAACAAATTATCCTTTCATTTTATACATCATTTGTTCAAACATTTGTAAAAATGGCTTTGTTTTTCTACAATAGAGAAATGTCATTCAACAGTTAAAAGCACATTAGCTGTTTTAGATACAGACCACAGACTGTATCAGGCGAGAGCGTAAAGGAAGAACGCCCGGTGCTGTGTCCATCACTGTGTGTGTTTTCAGCTAAGGACAACAAACCCCTTCTCCCTTAGCCCACTGTGTTTACCACAAAATATAAAGGACAGTGGATGTAGGTATCCTTTTTGGTTAGAAATGTGTGATTGATTGTTTCACATTTTGTTGCACTTTGCCTGTAGCTTTTCCTTTGGCATTTGCCTTATGGGTTGAGTGTAGTATTGGAAGTAGCAGTGATACCTGCCAGGTTTACCACGGAGCTGGCGTATCAGACCAGGCCACATGGCACAGAGGGAAGAAGCGTCATCCTTACTGTCCTTGGAACTCAGTCATTTTCAAAGAAGTGTTATTTTTGTTTTTACTTTATGTATTTTTTTGAGATGGAGTCTCACTTCGTCACCCTGGCTAGAGTACGGTGGTGTGATCTCGGCTCACTGCAACCTTCACCTCCTGGGTTCAAGCGATTCTCCTGCCTCAGTCTCCCAGGTAGCTGGGACTACAGGCAGCCACCACCACACCCGGCTAATTTTTGTATTTTTGGTAAAGGAAGTTTCAGTGCATTAGCCAAGCTGCTCTTCACCTCCTGACCTCAGGCAGTCCACCCGCCCCAGGCAGTCCACCCACCTCAGCCTCCCGAAGTGCTGGGATTACAGGTGCCCAGCCAGAAGTATTATTTTTAATTCATTTTATAGGCATGAGGATATGTATATGTCACTGCTTTAAAATAAAGCCAAGTCCTCAGTGAAAGAGTATGTTAACAATCCAGAGGACTGTGGCACGAACACATTAAATAGATTACACTTCTTTTAAACTTTCTGACTTTTTGCTGATAAGGCCAGACATTAAGACAGTCACAACTGAATGTGCTTTATTCTGTTTTTTTCCCTGATTCCCCTGAACAGCCATGTGTCACTGTCTCTGCTGGGATGGCCCTGCTGCTGCCTTGGGGCTACACCTGCTAGGGGTTGGGGTTGCGAGCCACCCAAGAGCTCTTAGAACCTGCCCAGGAGAGAGCATCTTCAGTGGCTGTTTCATTTCCAGCTTAGCGGAAGGCCTGCAGTAAGCATTAGTAACTGTGTGATAGACTAGACTGACTCCAGTACTGGTTTATTTTGAAGTGTTTGTCTGTAATGGGAACTGTTAAGTAAGCTTTTTTTTTTTTTTGAGATGGAGTTTTGCTCTGTTGCCCAGGCTGGAGTGCAGTGGTGCGATCTCAGCTCACTGCAGCTCCTGCCTCCCAGGTTCAAGCAATTCTCCCTCCTGAGGCTCCTGAGTAGTTGGCATTACAGGTGCCCACCACCATGCCGAGCTATGTTTTGTAGTTTTAGTAGAGATAGGTTACATCATGTTGGCCAGGCTGGTCTCGACCTCAAGTGATCTGCCCACTTCAGCCTCTCAAAGTGCTGGGATCACAGACATGGACCACCATGCCTGGCCTAAGTAAGCTTCTTGAAGACAGATTGTCATATCACGTTTGCCAGCCCAGCACATAGTAGACCCTCAGCAGTGTTTTTTGAATAAAGAATAATTTTATAAGTCCCTGGAGGGCAGTTGAGGACTTTAAGCATTTCAGCCTTTGTGAACTCTGTGATTCATCCAAGGGCTATGATTATAGTCCAGGAGGCAAGCTGAAACCTTGGTCATTGGCTGTGACTAGATAACAGGGCCTGTCATCTTATCTCTGCCGTAATTATAAAATGCATGCACACACAACTTTGTGCATCTTCGTGGTGCTGAAGCTGCAGAGACTCCTATTATACATTCAAAACGGTGATAGCGAGGCAGTCTTGTGATTGGAATGGATGTTGTAAGCTCAGCTGCCGGGTTTGTCTTTTGTGTAGAAGGCCAGCTTGGCACTGTTCGAGACTACAAACCGGGATCATTCGCCCCTGATAGCTCTCGCCTCCACCTCCTGCTCTGCCAGGCGTGGAAACCAGACTCATGTTTCTTCTGCATCCTAAATCTGTCTAGTTCAGAGGACCAAAAACAGCCAGTTTTTGGCGTGGATGTGTCAAGTTACTGTATCGTTGATTGCTGTGGAATGGCTTATGCCTGTTGAGAGTATTCAAAAGGAAAGAAGCCTGGCTTGGAAAAATGGTGGCACTTTTTAAAATTAGTATTTGTTCGTACTTGTTTCTGTTAACAATTACACTCTTAAGTGAGGGTGGCACAGTACTCAAGGCCCAGAGTAAGTGTTTAGTGTTAACTGAATTAAGCTGAATTTCAGTAAAACCTTTCACTAAGAACTTCTGTGCACCTTTGCGTTTTCACTGAAACTGTCCTATTCCTCTGACCATGTGTGACAGAGTGTGAGAGATTGCCTGTAAATGATTGGTACGGGAGACAGAGCTAACATCTATTTGTTCTTGTGTTCCTGGGTCTGTCAGAATGACAGGCTCTCAAGTGCAGCCAAGCTCATGTGAAACTTTTTTTCCTGTTGGAATCTGCATTCTAGACTCTGGCATGGGCAAGGGGATGCAGATTATGCATCATTATGTATGCTCATTGTCATTCCAGCCACTTTTTTTCCTCACTTAAGAACACTTATTGGAATGCAAGTGAATGAGAGTGTCATTGTTAGAAAGAAAATCTTGAATTTTTCAAAAGTAAACTATTTGTAAATGTCACAACTTGAATTGTAGGATGTCTTGCTCGTAGACATCCAAGGCCTCTGTTGGATGGCATTCACGCTGGAGTCTTAGCACTGAGTTGGAATAAATAAAACATCCTGGTGGGATGTATGAATGTGATGAGGCTTCTCTTAGAAACCGCAGCACTAGAGCTAGTTGTGTGCCCTGCTCCAAAACCATGGAGAACAGCCTGCCATGGCTTTTTCTGCAGAGGATGTTGAATTTTAATGATTTTAAATAAACTCCTCACAACTATCATCCTCATTTTAGTTCAGTCCAACAAGCACGGGCTCCTCTCAATACAAGAAGGATAAACGCATCTTGCAGTGTCCTCAGTGGGCCTCTGTGGGAAATTCTGCACGGGGGAGAAGAGAGAGCTGTTAGGGCCTCCTGAGAAATTAACTTCTTGACAGCTTGCAAGTGACTCTCAGGTTTCCCAAAAAATAATAATAATAATAATAATAAAATAAAAGGGAAAGGAATTAATCAACTACTGTGATTCCTTTTTTCCACGGAGGAAAAAGGAAAAATGCTTTCCTTGTATTCTGAGAGTCTTTTCTTGGTCCTTAGTCCCTGCCCCTCTCATACCTGGGAGGCAGAGAATTGTAGCATGATGGAAACAGGAAAGCGAGTTTGTGCCTTAATACTAGGGTGCCCTGTGTTCCTTAAACTGCGTGTCGTTAATCATAATCAGGACTAAAGAAAAGGTATGTGTAAAATATTTGTGTTTTCACATTAGAAGTATTGTGTATCCCCCATATTGAGTAAAAAGATACTGGCTATTTTAGAATCTTGTTTCAATGTTTTTTTGTTAATTCTGTTTTTATTTATGGCGGTATCTGTGATTTTTTTTTTTTTTTCTTACCACTTTTTCAAGCAAAAACCCTTGGAACTGACTCATGATCACCTGCAGTTTCTGGCTTGATGATTTGTTACATGTTGCTCTAGGTAGCCATTTTGTTAAGTTCAATATGCAAAGAAGCTTTTAGGTTCTTTTTGTTAGATTCTGCCCCTCTGGAACAACAGCAGGAGAGGATTGTGGGTCTTGGCCTAGAAGCCTGGACTCTGGAGTTACACTCCCTGCCTTCTAAGACAATTTCCTTATCAAAGTAAACCTAGCAAAACAGTTAAGAACCTTGCCCACCATTATTCTGGTGAACAGTCAGAAACAGATACAAAATGTTGCTGTAAAAAATAATGGGCTTGTGCAAAAGTAATTGTGGTTTTTGCTGTTACTTTCAATGGCAAAAACCACAATTATGTTTGCACTCAATAACTTGAGTGCAAATCCAAACCCAAGCAAACTCTTGGGTTTTTGTTTGTTTGTTTGTTTGTTTTTGTTTTGTTTTGTTTTGTTTTCTGACTCGTAACACTTTGTAACATAGCTGGATTCTTCTGAAAGAGTGATATTGGCTTCTTTGTTGTTTTTAAGGACCTCTTAGCAGTGGGTCCTTAATTCAGACTCTCAAATCTTTCAGCTCTAACACTCCAAGAAAGGCTGTGTTTGCTGGAAGCATGCAGTTGCTGGCTGGAGTCAAGCTGTGCACAGGAAGGACCCTAACCAATCACCCACACTACGAAGACAGCAGCCTGAGAGAGCGGACCAGAGCGGTGAGGGTCCCCTGTGCCTCCCCTCACTTCTTGTGGGCCAGCCATAAGCTGTGTGTCCCTATGTATGGTAAAGATGGGGCTGAATACTGCACCCTCCAGCATTAGGTTATGGAGTGTATTAGTCTGTTTTCATGCTACTGATAAAGGCATACCTGAACTGGGCAATTTACAGAAGAAAGAGAGGTTGAATGAACTTACAGTTCCACATGGCTGGGGAGGCCTCACAATCATGGCGGAAGGCAAGGAAGAGCAAGTCATGTCTTACATGGATAGCAGCAGGCAAAGAGAGAGCTTGTGCAGGGAAACTGCCCCTTATAAACCATAAGATCTTGTGCGATTTATTCACTACCATGTGAAGAGCACAGGAAAGACCAGCCCCTATGATTTAGTTACCTCCTACCAGGTCCCTACCACAGCATGTGGGAATTCAAGATGAGATTTGGGTAGGGGCACAGCCAAACCGTATCAGAGGGGAAATCAGAATGTAGATGTGCAGAGCTTGCATCTCCCGGTTCAGGACCTCCGCCTGCCCACATCCACTGAGGACATGTCGTTAGGCCACAGGTCCTCCCAGGGGAAGAATTGAGAAGACACATGCCTTGAAATGTACAGAAGAGAGCATTTGGGAGCAAAGCTTTTGGATTAGGCAGGGAACGGAAAAGGAGTTGAGGCATGCTGGTCACATTTCTTATGGACCATTCTGAAGTCTGGGGTTTTTGGTTTTTAATAGATAATAATATAGTCTCATAGTTCAAAATTCAGAACATACAAAAGGGAATATGGTGAAAAGCCTCTCTCCCACTGTTGTAGTTCTTAGTTCCCCTCCTAGAGGGCAGATAATGTTAACCGTTTCTTGTGTCTCCTTCCACAGGTATTTTATGCACATACAAATATCAGGGGGAGGGTGGTACTCCTTTCTCCATTTTTACAAAAGAGGTGACATTCTACATTCTGCTTTGGCACAATATATTTTGGAAATCATTCTATATTCAGTATATTAACAGCTTCCTTGTTATTTTTGAAGCTGCTTAATATTTCATGTGGGTGTGGCATGTTTTATTTATCCATTTTGACCGTTTCCCTGACTTTGGCGATTATATGAACAATGCTGCAGATAAACTTGTCTGCATGTCACTCTTTCCAGGCACAGTGTCTGTCTCTACAGCAGGTTCTTGGATGTGGAAGTGCTGGGTCAGGGTTGTTGGCATCTGTAATATAGATCGAGAGATGTTATCAGGTCCCCTCTGTACAGATCACGTTCGTTTACATTCAAGTCAGCAGTGCAGGAGGGTGCCTGTGTCCCTTAGTCCCCACCGATCAAGTTTCAAACTCATAAACGTTTCCTAATGTCACTTTTTCTTGTTGGAAGTTGAAAAGTTGTTGAAAAAGTCTTGTTTTGAGGTGAGGTTTGACTAGCCTAAGAGCAGATGATTTTTACTAAATCTCCTGATTTGAATAAGAATCATTTGAACTTTGACTCCTGCTAAAATAGGAGTTTTTTGATGGGCTCAAGTGTTCCAGATGGTTTCAAATTAACTAGGAGGATGCGAGAAAGGGGCTCCCTGGCTTTCCAGACACCAGGGTCATCAGGGGGTGGCCTCTACTGCTTGGACTGGAGACTGCAGAAAAGACAGGTCGAGTGCACAGAGTGTCCTCCTGGGCATCTCCTTTCTTGTGTCAGCACAAGGGTTAGGTCCCAAACACTGACGTCGTGAAGGTCCTACAGCTCTTCAGTAGTGACCCTGGAATCCTTGGAATGCCTTTCGTCTGAGACCTTGTGCTGGACTGCAGGATGACACAGTTGTCACAGTCACAGCACCCTCCCTCCCTACCATTTCACCCATCCATATGGATGCATCGAATTAGGCCCTCAAGCCCCAGCCCCAAATCAGAAACCTAGCTCTCGAAATCAGGGCCCCAAATCAGAAACCTAGCTCTCGAAATCAGGGTGCAACAAAAGAGGCACTGCCTCTCTTACCAGCCCCCACATGCAACACCTCACACAACCTGCTTCCATTCCAGCCCCAGAATCTAGGACGCTTGGTTTGCATCCATCCACTGAGGACGTGTGGCACTGGTGTGAACAGGAAGGCAGCCTCCTTTGGTGTTGCCCACAGTATGCTCCAAGTGTCTCTCGCCCCCAGGATGGAAGAGGGGAAGAGGAGCAGTGGGGTCTCTCAGCTGAGATGCAGGGTAGCAGCAGTAGAGCAGCCTGTACTGCTGCAGCCCAGGAGCAGGGACCCTCCAGGGATCTCTCTGCCGGTATCAGAAGCTGAGGCTTCACTTTACTGGGACGTATGCCCCCCAGACTGTCCCATTGTCACCCTTAATGGGCCACGTTAGTCTGGAGGTCCTTTTTTTTAAAGGTAGAGACTGTCTTATTTACTCGGCCCTGTCATTTGCTTTGGGACAGCGGTCTTGGAATTGGTGTCTACTGATGAATATATTCCTAACTTGAAGTAATATATTCTGAATCCAGATGTGTTCAGCCCGGCGCACTGTCTCCCCAAGGCTTGAGCACTCACAGTGTCCTGGGAATTCCCACACACACACTCTAGGCCTGCAGATGAGTGAGGGCAGTGTGGCCTGGGCTGGAGAGGAGAGCGCCTTGGGTGTTAGGTCTTGGACTCAGCCCTGTGGGAGGTTACATCACATTCCTTAATTAACTCCCTGGCAGTCGAGTGGCATCTGCCACATTGTATTTTTATCATCTGCTTTTGAAGGTTTATCAGATATATGCCAAGAGGGCACCAGAGGAAGTGCATGCCCTCCTGAGGTCCTTCGGCACCGACTACGTAATCCTGGAAGACAGCATCTGCTACGAGAGGAGGCATCGCCGGGGCTGCCGACTCCGGGACCTGCTGGACATCGCCAATGGCCACGTGAGCATGGTGCCTCTCCCTGTGCGGGGTCTCCTGGAGGGGCGGGACTCTGATTTGAATCCTAAGAATGTGTATCTTTATATCCTTTATGTCTAAGAGAATTACGCTACGAATCAAGTGTTCACTTTTTCTCTTGCTTCCTGCAGAACCCCTCTCTTGGCACTTTAGTGACCGTCACTAAGGCTGGGCAAGGGAGAGGTGAGAGGGGCGCCCCGGGTCCCCAGTGTCACACCAAACAGAGCAGCTCATTCTTCAGCTCGTTTATATGATGGAGCTCTACATCAAATGTGTCTGTTAAGGATTTTGCTGTTAAAAACAAAACCCCAGCCTTTAATCCCACAGCTGCAGCGCTTCGTATTGGCTAGCCGCTGCATGGCCGGGACGGTGGGGCCCTCTTGCCCTCCAGCCTTGGTGGTGGATTCCCCCTGCCCCTCCGCTCTCTCCCACTGAGTGTCCTGTGTCCACTGGTGCGTTTCCACAGGCTGGTTTTCAGAGGCCAAGTTGCACCCCAGAGCGGAAAAGCAGCAAGCCACTTCTCCCTTCTCCCTTCTCAGGAGAGTGTTCTTGGAGCCATGCCAGGTCTCAGCAGAGCAAACAGATTTTCACCCTTTAGAGGTCTGATGTGTGCCATAATTAATGGTATGAAAACCGATAGATATTTGTAAACAAATTGGACAAAGTGACAAACCTAGCCTAAATTTGAAAAAAAAAAAAAAAATCTTTACAGAATTTGAGATTCAGATTTTTGTCCGAGGAGAATAATAGTTCATAACTCTCTTGAGTTCAGAGGTGATACAGACCAAAGATGTGTATTTAAATTTTGATTTAAGTATGACTTTTTCAGGTTATTTATTTATTTATTTGTTTATTTTTGGAGACAGGATCTTTGTCACTCAGACTGGAGTGCAGTGATGTGATCTTGGCTTACTGCAGCCTTAGCCTCCCAGGCTCAAGTGATCCTCCCACTTCAGCCTCCCAAGTACCTGGGACCACAGGCATACCTCACCATACCCAACTAATTTTGTTGATTTTTTTTATAAAGACGGGACCTGGCTATGTTGCCCAGATGGGTCTCAAACTCCTGACCCAAGCAATTCTCCTGCCTGAGCCTGCCAAAGTGCCGGGATTGCAGGCATGAGCCAGCATGCCTGGCCTAAGTGTGACTTTTTCTGATGAGTTAGGAAGATTTCCCTGATCACAGTAGTTCTCTGTGTTTCATTTCTGTGAGAGAGATGGTATAGTATGTTCCTAAGAACAAGCAGATCTGAGTTCTAGTTCTGGCTTTCCTGTTAATGGGATTATCGTGTGACACCGCACTCCCCTTCTCAGCCTTGGTCTGCACTTCTGAAGGGGGAAAAGGATGGGCCAGATGATCTCCAAGTGCTCATGGGCACTGAAATAATATGATTTAATTTCACTCACAGCTCATTCTTAGGCCCAGTACCTATTCCTGCCCCTACTGTCTTTTGTAAGTAGGATTTTCCCCCCACATTGTATTTGGGTTTGTTTTGGTTTTAGATGATGGATGGCCCAGGAGAGAATGATCCTGATTTGAAACCTGCAGACCACCCTCGCTTCTGTGAAGAGATCAAAAGAAACCTGCCTCCCTACATGGCCCACTTCACTAGAGTGTTCCAGAACAAAACCTTCCACGTTTACAAGCTGTCCAGAAACAAGTAGCGCAGATTTCTGCCCAGTGTCTATTTTTGATACAGTGAAACTGCATCCTGATGAAACTCGGTAGATGACATTTTCTGTGTAAGTAGGTAGCCCGAGACTTCAAGCTGTGATAGGAGTTAAGTTCTACAGATGTTTACACAAGCGTTGCCGTCTTTGAAAGCATCTTCTACAAGCAGAAGTCTTTTTTGTTGTGTCTTTCTCATTAATGTTCTTTAGCCTAAATGTTCACAGCTTTCTAAGAGTGACCTAGAATGATGTTGTTGGAAAGAATGATGTGTATTCCCGTGGATACCTGGATAGGCACATATCACGTTGGAAGATGGGCACCTGCTCAGGATTTGAAATACTTTTAATTTTCAGGTGACTTAGGTCAGCTATGATTGAATCAACTAGACAGGATGATTGACTTATTTAATGATTCCTCTGGTGAAGACCAACTGTTTTTAAAAAGCTGTTTATTGTCCTGTTTTACCTTAAAATGTTATAATAGTTTCCAATTGTTATGCTTTTAACATTAGCAAAAAAAAAAAAAATCATGTTAGGTCTTTGTATCAAACATTTTGTTACATACTGAAATGTAACGTGGAGTACTTCAGCGGTATGTATCGTGTATTTGTGTGTGTGTGTGTGTGTGTGTGTGTGTGTGTATGTATGTGTTAATGCTGGGCACAGAAAAGTATTACAGGTTCCATATTGTAAGTCCTTAAAGGGGCAGAAATGTATGTAGCCAAGAAGTATTCATTAAGTTTAGTGTTACTATTTTAAAACCTACTAATAATCTTTAACCTCTCCTATTTTGCTTTCTTACTCATTTCAATTTATTGGGTTTGCAAAATTTTGTAAACTTCTTGTGTTTTTAGCCTTTGTATTTTTTACAGCCTAGAGCCTTGCAAAGTCTGAATATTTTTTAAATGTTATATCTTAACTGGTTCACTAATACGGTATTTTTAGCAGACAGCATTTCAGACAGCATTTTCATACCAAGTTTGACTTGTGGTCTCCAATCTTACTGGGAGGGCCCTGGTGTAACTCTTTTCCTTACTAAAAGTGCCTCTAAGTCATGCTTATTTGTAAACAACAAAGAAGAGTATATGTACCTGCTCAAAATTTGTTTGATAATTACGTATATAATTAATTTCCAATGATGAGGATGTGTAAAAGTTGCTAGGAAGAACATATTATGCATTTAATTAAATCAAGATGGCTAATGGAATTAACTTTCCTCCCGTGTTCTTGCCAGGTGGAAATGATTTAAGCATTTCTCCTTGCATTTGTATTGAAGTAAATTACCATAGGCATCAAGATGGCTGCGCCACGTTTTCAAATGCTTTTATATTCAGTTATTATTAAGCAGCATTCAAAAAAAATTTTACACTGTCAAGGTTGGACACAAGCAGACTCAGCTTTTATCAAAACTTGTTTAAATAAAAAATTGACAGTAGCTAGGTTATTAAATTATGCAACTGAAACTCCTGAATTATACCTTACTGTATCCCTTAGTAAGATTGGAGACCACTGCAGGATAATACAGTATAAAATAGGATAATACAATAATAAAACATTTTATTCAGTACTGAAACTTTAATTAAGCCAATAATGATGCATACCTGTTGTAGCTGACAGCATGGGTCAGTACATCCTTCAGCGAGTGCCTTACTCTAATTGAAACCAAGCACATGTAAGGTACAATATGTTAGACGGTGGTTTTGTTTTGAAAATTCTGTGTTACAGCTATATTTAGATTTATTTTAAATATTCCTATGTGTATTCATCTAAGCACTTGGGCATTTGGAGTCTCAGTACACAAGAAGCATGTACTTAAATTTTTATGCTTATCACCACGATGATGGCATACAGTGATTTTTTTTTTCATAGTTTAGGTGTCATTATTGCCAGCACCTTTAGTGCTCAGTCTTTAGTGAAAAATACAAAGTGCCAAAAAAACTTGCAAGACCGAATCCATACTTAACACTCTGTCCAAGACACTGTGACCATGTAAAGTAGAAGTTTTTATGTCCTGACGACCAAATCACTCAACGAATCATGTTATGAGTCAAGATTTTTAGCACTCGTCAGTATTCTCTGGTGTGACCTTCTCATCAGAGTGCACAGAAGGAAAGCAAGGAAGAGCATCTGACTTCTGGCTCTGGCTTACAGCCTCTCCCCTAGACCGAAGCAAGAGGCCCACAGCTGCAGCTCCCTGCCACTCAGACCTGATTGGGGAGAGCCTCCAAGAATGGCTCTGTTTGCTATTGATGGAAACCCCACCTGATTTTGCTTCTGAGTCAGCAGTCAGAAGACTCTCCAAGTACAATTGAAGTGCTCTTACGGACTCTGCCTACGTGACTCCCGGGCCCTGGAGTCTCCGTCTCTCTCGTGAGCCACCCGCCCTGGCACAGCTGGAGGCTGCTCTCTGGTGTTCTCAGTGCCCTGGCTCCCTCCCTTGAGCTGTGCGCCCGTCCCAGACTTCTCTGTGCAAGTTCTACTTCCTCTTGTAAGTACACAACTCGATTCTAAGTATTTACATACACACAACATACGGCTGTGAAAGAAAGAGCTCTTTCTGCACAAATTAAGCTGAATGCTTTGGTAAGAAGTGGTAAAGGTTGAGTTGCCAATAAAAATTGTTTTTAAATTAGGTGCGGCTGGGAAAATTATAAGATACTGGGGAAAATATACAAATCAAGAACATTTCTGAGCTTAGATTGCTTCATAGATTTATTTAAGTACTCATCCTACCCTTACAGACTCTAAACTGAGAAGAAGGTACCCAGATCATGTTATTGGTGTGATTTATGTGAGAAGTAGGACTATAGTCATTGGACCCTTAGGCAAAGGAAAACCGTGTCTTTGTATCAGAGGATTAGCAAATGAATGCACAGTTACACAGTTTAGGTTATGATTCCCTACTTTAACTGGCTTGCTTTATTAAATGGCTAACTACTGATACTGATCACAATAGTTATTAGAGATTCTAATGTATTCGGAAGGTTCTAATCACTTTTATTAACAGGCATTTGAAAAATAGGGATTAATTTCAAATATATTAGCTAGGAGCATAATTAGATATTACCCAGGCCATTGTCATCCTGTTGGTGATTTTCCCCACCCTTGCGAGATCAACGTGACAAGAGAGTGTGTGGGTGTGTGTTTGGGTGTGTGCTTTTGGTTGGGTCCTGCCAGGTGGCAAAGGCATATGTAAATACATCATCTCATCTGCATCTTTATTTCACAGTGAACTAAAAGTAAAAATATCTAATCTGATTTCGTATTAACTTTGAGATGTAAAAATTTGAGTTTATCTTTGGCCCAAATCTACCTGAATTAACATGCAAATATTTGATTTTTAAAATGTAATTCAAATCGCAAAATCAGTCAAGTGTTCTCAGACCCTCCCTGTATTTTAGTTACTATGTCCCCAAATGCTTTATACGTGGCAACCGTTTGGACTAAGAGAGTGTTTATCTATCGTTGAAAAAACGCTTTTGAGATGAGAGAGTGTCTTACTTTCTTGTGGCAAATGGTTTTCTGTTTTTAACATCCTTTGGGTACAATCTTACAAAGAGCTTTTATAATTTGTTGTACTGAATTGTATGGAGATTGTATACTAAGTAAAGCTCTTTTAAATTGCATAAGATGAGTGTCTTGCATTTCTTTGAAGACCAAAACTCAAGGAACCTGCTTGTGGAAGTGCATTAAATATTTGCTAAATAGAGCAAATCACTAAATGTGGGTGTGTAGGGTCTTAACTGTAACTGTCATTGTTGAGGGTGTTTATTTTTTCACATAGATTTTGGTTTGGCACCTGCTTGTTTCACTTGAATTCCAAGGTTACAGTTTAGATTTATAAAGAGATGACTACTGTCAGCAGAATTTATCCTTGAAGAGATAAATGCTATTTGTTTTGACCTCAAGAACAGTTTCTACTTGATTAAATTCTGAGCCTTTAGTAATTCAAGAAGATGGGAGGTAATGCACATGCTTGGTAAGAGTGTCTAGATAACAAATGTATTGGCCATTATGTTCAAAGTGGAAGTTGAAATTTCAAGCAAAAATGGTCAGAAAGACAAACAAAAAAAACCGACAGTGAGATCTCAAATATTCTGTACTGACAGGTGGTCCCTAGCAAAGTAAGAATAACAGTTTAGTGAGAGATGTGGGGTATGAATGAGCTGACCATGGAATGGGCTGACATGGACACCAGGTACTTGACAGATGAAATGTTTTGGTTTTTTTTTTCTCCACCCTTTCTTTCAGATAAGATGTCTGAAACTCATTTCACAAACCCTTCTGTTAATATTTAGAAGTTGGCTATGTAAGATTGTTTTTCAAAATGTAGATAATAGATAATGTGAAGTCAATTTCATGGGTTACAACCAACATTTAAAAGGAGGGAGGGAGGGAGGGAAGGAGAACAGCCCAGTGGTAAATGTAAGTGCTGTACTGTGGAAGATTTGTTCCAGTTACACATACAGGTGTTTGTGTTTGGGAGGTACAATAGAAAATATATTTCTTCTCCGAGATAGGCTGAAAGCCTGGCTCTTATTAGCTGGGGGATTCTGGGAGGATGACAGCTTGAACTTGTCTGTGTCTTTGCCCTCTGTGCTAGTAGAACTGTCTGAATGAATACTGCTGATATTCAAGAACTATCGTAATGATACAGAATGGCTGGGCTTCTGGCTAAACCCACCTTTAAGCCTGGAATCCTGGCCCTAAGTGAAAACAGGTGACCCTGTTTTTCCTGCCCAAATGTTGCCTTTTGGCCTGATAGGCCTCTGTCCTGTGCCCATAAAAAGACTTCAGCTGGCCGAGCAACACAGGCAGCTGAGTAACAGGGATACAAGCCGCTGAGCCACGGGAATACAAGCTGCTGAGCAGCAGAAACTACAGACACACCCAGCTACCTTCAGATGTGTGGCTTCAGGGAAAGATCACCTTCTTCCCACACCGTCCGCTTTCCAACTCCTATCCCACTGAGAGCCACTTCCATCACCCAATAAAATCCTCCGCATACACTACCCTTCAGTCCATTCATGTGGCCTGATTGATTCTTCCTGGACACCAGACAAGAACCCGAGTGTCAGGAGGGCAGGGGCTTGGATGCTGCTGCAGGGCCGGCACAGAGCCTGCCTCCTGCCAGAGAGGAGTGACTGGCCAGTTCCAGCTTGCCTTCCCTCCAATTCCCACACTCACTTGCTTGAATACTCCCTCTGGGAAGAAGTGGCCAGCAGCAGGCTGAGTGAACTGAGCCACTCCAGTTCCCACCCACGAAGGGGTTCCCTTGGTCAAGGGAAGTCTCATCTCAATAATTCTTATATGTGGTTTGGACATTTTCTTTCTTTTTTTATTGCATTTTAGGTTTTGGGGTACATGTGAAGAACATGCAAGATTGTTGCATAGGTACACACATGGCGGTGTGGTTTTCTGCCTTCCGTCCCCTCGCCTGTATCTGCCATTTCTCCCCATGCTATCTCTTCCCACCTCCCCACCCCCATCCCTCCCCCATTTCCCCGCAATGGACCCCAGTGTGTAGTGCTCCCCTCCCTGTGTCCATGTGTTCTCATTGTTCAACACCCGCCTATGAGTGAGAACATGCGGTGTTTGATTTTCTGCTCTTGTGTCAGTTTGCTGAGAATGATGGTTTCCAGGTTCATCCATGTCCCTACAAAGGACGTCAACTCATCGTTTTTGATGGCTGCGTAATATTCCATGGTGTATATGTACCACATTTTCCCTATCCAGTCTATCATCGTTGGGCATTTGGGTTGGTTCCAGGTCTTTGCTATTGTAAACAGTGCTGCAATGAACATTCGTGTGCATGTGTCCTTATAGTAGAATGATTTATAATCCTTTGGATATATACCCAGTAATGGGATTGCTGGGTCAAATGGGATTTCTATTTTTAGGCCATTGAGGAATCACCACACTGTCTTCCACAATGGTTGAATTAATTTACATTCCCACCAACAGCGTAAAAGTCTCATCTCAATAATTCTTATATGTGGTTTGGACATTTTCTTAAGTTTTTTAAAAGTCCTTTTAAAATATATACTGAAATATTTACAGATAGAAGTATATGTCTAGGATTTGTGTCAAAATTTTGTGGGGCATCTAGATGAAACAAATTAACAATGAAAAGATACGGTTTAAGCTAGTTTGAATTTTTTTTTTTTTTTTTTTGAAACGGAGTTTCGCTCTTGTTACCCAGGCTGGAGTGCAATGGCGCGATCTCGGCTCACCGCAACCTCCGCCTCCTGGGTTCAGGCAATTCTCCTGCCTCAGCCTCCTGAGTAGCTGGGATTACAGGCACGTGCCACCATGCCCAGTTAATGTTTTGTATTTTTAGTAGAGACGGGGTTTCACCATGTTGACCAGAATGGTCTTGATATCTCGACCTTGTGATCCACCCGCTTCGGGCTCTCAAAGTGCTGGGATAACAGGCTTGAGCCACCGCGCCCAGCCTTTTTTTTTTTTTTTTTTTTTTTTTTTTTTTTTTTTTTTTTTTTAAAGACGGGGTTTCACCATGTTGGTCAGGCTGGTCTTGAACTCCTGACCTCAGGTGATCCACCTGCCTTGGCCTCCAGAGCGCTTGGATTACAGGCGTGAGCCACCATGCCTGGCCTTGGAATTTTTTTATAGTTGAAAAGAGAGAAATGAGAGCCAGAGACAGACCAGGAAACTAGGAAGATAACATTTAGGAGCTGGCTGAAACCAATCAATGCAACAAATAGTAGAAAGGATAAATAAATCCAAAATCCGTTCTTTTAAAATGAAGTAGATAAACACCGGATCAACCTGATTAAGACAAAACAGCAAAAATATACAAAAGTAGGAATGTGAAAAATATAATTCCAGAATCAGGAATAATGATTATATGAGGATAATGTATGGGATTCTGTAACAAAAATAAATCAGAAACCTATAGGAAATGGGTGAACGAAATAGAAAATGTCAATGTGGCCCACACAAGAAGTTGAAAACTTGAATAGACAAGACCCATGGAAGTTCTAGCATGGGGTTCAAAGGTCGCAAAGGACATTTGGACAAGAAGGGTACACACCAGATTCTTTCTCACTTTTAAAGAGGGGGTGACTGCCAAGTTCACTTAGTCTCAGCCACAGAATAGAGAGAGCCCCAAGTTTTTGGAAAGCTAGTCCAACTCTTAACACCGAAACTACGCAGAGAATGTATCTGTTTTCTATTACCACGTAACAAATTCAAACTGCAGCCTGAACCAACACACACCTATTATCTCAACGTTTTGTGGATCAGGAGTCAAATCCCAGGTCAGCTGGGTCCTCTCGTGTCTCACAAAGCTGCAAGGAAGGTATCAGCCAGGCTGCTTCCTCATCTGGAGGTAGGGGACCTTTTCCTAGTTCACACAAGCTGGTGGCAAAATTAAATTCATTATGCTTGTGAGACGGAGGCCATGAGCTGCTAGAGGCCACCCCTCTCTCAGCGGTTCACAGCATGGCCGTTAGCCTCTTTGAGGCCATCAGAAAGCCTCTCTCTCTTTCTCTCTCCAGTTCCGCTTTTAAGAGTTTTTCACCTGGATTAAGTCAGACCCACCCAGTGTAATCTCCATTTTTGTTAACTCAAAATCAGCTTATTTGTGACCTGAATTACATCTGCAGAATCATTTCGCCTTTGCTGTATTACTTCACCTGATCACCTAAACGGGAGTGGCATTTGTATTCATAGGCTCATCCACACTCAAGGGGAGGGGCTCTGCAGGCCATGTTCTTCAGGCAGTGGGACTCTTCGGGGCCATCTTAGAATTCTTCCTACAACAGACAGTTTAAAAGGACAGGGTCTGGGCCAGGCATGGTGGCTCACGCCTGTAATCCCAGTGATTTGGGAGGCCAAGGCAGAAGCATTGCTTGAGGTCAGGCGTTCAAGATTAACCTGGGCAGCCTAACAAGACCCTGCCTCTGCAAAATATATATTTTTTTAATCTAGCCCCTGGTGATGGCACACACTTGTAGTCCCAGCTACTCAAGAGGCTAAAGTGGGAGGATCCCTTGAGCCTAGGCCTTTAAGGTGGCAGTGAGCTATGATTGCACCACTGCACTCCAGCCTGGGCAACAGAGCAAGCCTGTCTCTTAAAAAAAAAATTAAAATAGGGCCTGGTGATAACTGAGTGGCGATGGTTAACATAGGGCTTTTGTAAACTTTGACATAAAGAAGACAAATAAAGGTGAATCCCAGGGTCACCCAGGCTTTCTCCCTTAGAGTGTTTTCCAAACTGTGACACAGGAAAATAAAGCTCCAGGCTTCCTGGTGGAGGCAGACTTGAGTTGATGGCTGCTAAGGTGGCTAGGATTTGGCAGGGGGTTGGAGGGGCAGAGCACCAGAGAGGAGGGAGTTGCAACAAAGAAAACCTAAGAATTTCCCATTGGGTTCTTGGTCAGTTCCTAGCCCGCAGAGACTTAGCAGAGAACATCTGCTCAGTGGCCGAGCTGATCAGAAGTTTCAGAGGTTACACAATCCCAAGGAGACATTGGAATTTGAGTCCAGCTGGGGCTGAGAGACCGTGGTGAATCTCCCAGGCATTTGGCTAAGACTCTAGAGAGGCTATACCTTATCCTGGAAGTAGAGGCTGTTACCCAGATTGCCTGCCAGAAGCAAA